GATACAAAATTGTGAAAGGGCGTTCCTGTAGCGATACCAGTACAATATCTCACGGGTCTCAACCAATCAGATTTGAGAACCAGAATGAACTGTTGTATAAATATATATACTGTATATATTAGGGATGTGCTTCTCATGACTCAGGCCGATACGATACGCATCTCGATGCATAGCCAACGATACGATACATTAAAGATACATATGAAGCAGCTACCGATGCGATACGATTCACCCCATTACGATACAATGCGAGTCGATTCAAGTTCAACATGCAATTCGATTCGATGCGATGGAGAAAATTTGATCACTTTTAATCCCTTGAGGCCTGTTTCATAAAACAAGTTATCCAAATAAGCCAGGCTTATTTCAGTTAGTTTGACTCCTTGTCAAATGATTTGGTTCCATAAAGCAAATTTAACATGGGCCTAGAATAGATCAAGCTTAGTCACTGTGGCACTTTATGCTGGGAAACTAACCTGGTCTAAAGTAGGTTAACTGTCAGATTAAGCTGAGTTCCTCTAACACTGACCAATAGGAACCCAATGATAATACCACTCTCTCACATACTATTATTTGACTTTTTATTTTTATTTATTTATTTTTAATTTTTTTTTGCAGTTTCTAGCCATGCAGCCTTTCTCTCTGGTTGTATTACAGCTGTACCTTTTATAGTTTACAGAACATTACAACATTACAAACTAAAATTGCTCTTTAAAGCATAAATTAAAAGTTTAAATCACTGAATTAAAAATGACTACATTTTAACTGCTATAAGAAACACACATTAACTAATTTGAGCTTAGTAATTAGTACTGTAGCCTACTAGCTTACATTTGATTCACCTATTACAATAGTCCCTTTACAGTTACTGCTATCATAAAAATACACTTTATATGTAGGTTTAAAATTCTACAAAAGACACAATTAATGTCCAACACCAAATATTTTAGCAAAATGCATATTTTACTCAGAATTATTGCGCTCCTATTCGATTGCGCTCAGTCTGTTTAGTGCGCATGCGCGCAGCAGCGTTCGTTCACTCGCCCACTCCTGTCCTGACAGCAAAATGAATATTATGTTTGCATGACTTTCATTTACAGACTAAAAATATACCTGTGACATGTCCGATATGCACTGAGAAAAACACAACGTCTCAAATGCATTAAACAGCACACATATATTCGCTGTTTGTCATGGTGGATCGATCTGATCCATGATCGACTTTAAGGGCTGCTTAAGAATAAGCGTGCACAAATTAGTGAGATTGTGTGAATTTAATTTGTCATTAATGGAACCGCTTTAGCCCCGATTGATTTGTTAGGCTATTTCAAGTCAGGTTTTGGACTTTAATCCCCGCTTTTCCTCGGGTCTCCGTGGTGTTGTGATGGGTCATATTCACGCAGCAGCAGCGGTGATGAGAGAGTGCGCTTGAGAAACAGTTTAGAGAGGAGAAATCAATCTACATATAAAATATTGGTCACAGATTATTGGTCACTTTCTAAATAATAAAAGTATAGTGCATCCACTAATAATTATGTATAAATTAATCAGTTTTTACTAATGCAAATATGTTAGAAACGATGCATCGCGATATAAATGTTAACTTTTTATGCCGATGCGCTGAGCGAATCTGGGAATCTTTCCATCCCTAATATTTATATATATATATATATATATAAAAGAATAGAAAACCTTGAGATATAACGTAACGTTGTTGTAGAAAATTTTTGTGGATGATGCCTAATCATAAGCTTGTTCAGAAATGGTGACAAAAACTTGATTATTAAAAAAATAACGTCTTTCTCGTTAAACGTCATTTAAATAAACAAATATTAGTTTTTTTATGAGCCCAAATATTCGAATACAGTATTTTTGAAAAATGCCCAACCCTAATAGATAGAAATCACACTATTGTAGTTGGGTTTTCGAAGGCAGTGGGAATCTTGGTTCTTCAAAAGGAAACAAAAAGTTAAGTTGTTTTTGAAGTTGTTTTGTCTGACATGAAAAATAAATATCTTGATTTTTCATTGTTTTGTCTTATTTTAAGTAATTGTAAGTAAACTAAAACTGAAACTAATTAAAAAAAAACAAGTTTTGTTACTTGGGAAAAAAAATTAACAGAAATAAAATATAAAAAACTTATTTCAGCTAGTTGCCTAGGCATCATTGCATCATTTTAATTTAGTTTAACTTGATGTACTAAAGTAACTAAAACTAATAAATAAAAATGAAATATATATATATATATATATATATATATATACGAAAAACAACTAAAATAACAAACTTTTACAAAAAAATTAATGAAAACTGAAAATATAAAAATAAAAACTATAATAGTACCTCAATGGTACTAGAATAACATTGCCTCCTTGCGGGCCCTGGCGCTAGTAGGTCTGAAACCCTCTGTAATATACAGCTGTTTTAGAGTCTTCGCTGCACAATATATGCAATATTTTTATGAAAAAGTATGTGTTAACTCTGTTTACAACCATATACATACAGTAGATTTGCTTCAAGTAAGACATGTTAAATTGTTACTCAAAAGTACCTAAGCATTGTTTCTGTTATCATGCTGTAGGTAACCAGGCTGGGCGACCTGCAGAGAACCTGGAATCGTCAGGACAGGAGGAACAGAGAAACGGCCTCAGGAAATCCAGCAAGGACCGAAAAACTGGGCATGAGGAGTCGTCCCCCTCTGCCACCCCCACTCAGGGAGCACCAGCCAATGAGAGGACTCACCCCGCAGGGGAACGGCCCAATGACAGCACCGATTTAACTGACAAGTGTAATGTGAAAGCGGAGGGGGAGGGCAGCTCAGGTGAGACTGACACCCCAAATGCTGCTGCTGATGCCGCTGCCAACGACCTGGATTTTGACCTTTCGAGTGACAGCGAAAGCGAGGGTAAAACAGAATTATCTGACAGTGATGGTGAAGGACGGCTGGTGGATGCTGGGAAAGCCAAACAAAGCCAATCAAAAACCGAGGAGTGTAAAAGCAAAGAGGATGGTGAGGAAGGGGACAAACAGAGGACAGAGGGGGACGACGTTCCAGAAACAGATCCCGAGGGTCTCTGTGATTTGGGCAACGGCTGTTCTGACAAGAAAGAAGTGGAAACAGAGTCTCAAAACAGCGAGCAGTCAGGCGTCACAATGGGTGAGGAGTCTTTAGATCACAGTATGGACGATGAGGAAGAGGAAGACATGGACCAGGATGACCACCTCATTTACTTGGAGGAGGTTTTGGTTCGCATCCACAGTGAGTATTACTCACGCTACGAGGCCTTCCTAAGTAAAGAGAGTCCAGAGAGTCCAGACATACGGAAGATCATTCCCGAACTGAAGGGCCGTGCGCTGGCGGGCACCACCATCATCTTCAGTGGCTTGTATCCCACCAACTACTCAATGGAGCGCACGAGGGAGTGGTACCACACCAAGGCGCTGGGTGCCAAGCTTGGCAAGACCCTGGTGCTCAATGCCAAAGACCCAAACCTCACCACCCACCTTATTGCTGCACGTGCAGGTGAGTCTCGCATGCTTCAAACACCAGTTACGAAGGGATGTTTTCAAAAGCGAGTAGTCGGTGTGTTGTTTGAACAACTAGTCGTTCTTAAAGTCCCCATGAAATCATAAAGTTTTTTGGGTGTTAGTATCAATATGTTAGTCTTAAGGTTATCTATAAGACATTGTGCCCCAAAACGGTGACAAAATTCGCATTTAGAAGATATAAGCATTCAATCAAAGCTTGCAGTTCGCCACTTCCACCAAAACGCTAAAGCGATTTATTTTGACGTCACATCGTACTTCAGCTTCTCATCAAACTTTCTGTCCAATCAAATGCTCTCTAGAACCCGAAGCGCCCGCCCCCTGCACTATAAAATAGATGCTGAAGCCGCGGCTGAAATCGGTCACTTGTCCACAGAATTAGTATGTTCTGTACAGTGAATGGCACGTAGTGCACTATATAGGGGACAGGGAACGATTCAAACAGTGTAAATATGCTTTCCATTGAGGAAAAAAAGAAATCTGGTTTGGCGCTGTGTCACGCTAACCACCGCACCGCACACACACTGTGCTCCGGTCCAGAGACACGATAACACAGAGCGGATCACATGCGCGAGTCGGCGCAGACCACAAAATGTATCGAAGCTATTTGAATTCTGCACAGAATGCTATATTTTATAGCAATGTGGATGAGATTGTGGCTGGCATACCCTGTCAAATGCGGCTTTACGGAGCTCAACGGCTCTAGCCCAAGCTGTGATATAAACGAACGCTATTGGCTATTTTAAACTGGCTGCTTGATATGTCCCGCCCTGTCTTCCTGTTTCAGTTAAAATGACGTCAACACATAGAGCAGGGTTCGTACGGTCATGAAAAACCTGGAAAGTCATGGAATTTTAAAACACCAATTTCCAGGCCTGGAAAAGTTTTGGAAAAATAAATAAACCCAGAAAGTTTTGGAAAAGTCATTGAAATCTATTTCACAAAACTCTGTATAATAGAATTGTGTTCAATCAGGTCCTGAATTTCGGTGTGGGATTGCGCATAGGCTATATCGCATAATTTTACTCATTCCCGCAGCTTTTGACTTTAAAATTATGGATATTCACACATTTATTCAATAGCCTATAGCATGTAGGTTTGATGAGTAAATAATCAAACCTACAGACTGAGTCCAGTCCACACAGACTGATCAAATCAGTCATTTGAAAACAGCGTGAATGATTCAGCTGTACGCGTCTTCTCTCTTTGACTTTCTCTTCAAACGGCTTCACATCGGCGCATCTTGAAAAACTTGTTGCATCTTTCCCAAAAAGACTCATGGCTGTATTCGATCAAAAGGGTGCTTCTACTAAATACTGAGCAAAGGGTCTGAATACTTAGGACCATGTGATATTTCAGTTTTTCTTTTTTAATAAATCTGCAAAAATGTCAACAATTCTGTGTTTTTCTGTCAATATGGGGTGCTGTGTGTACATTAATGAGGGAAAAAAATTAACTTAAATGATTTTAGCAAATGGCTGCAATATAACAAAGAGTGAAAAATGTAAGGGGGTCTGAATACTTTCCGTACACACTGTACATACAGTAGATTTGCTTCAAGTAAGACATGTTAAATTGTTACTCAAAAGTACCTAAGCATTGTTTCTGTTATCATGCTGTAGGTAACCAGGCTGGGCGACCTGCAGAGAACCTGGAATCGTCAGGACAGGAGGAACAGAGAAACGGCCTCAGGAAATCCAGCAAGGACCGAAAAACTGGGCATGAGGAGTCGTCCCCCTCTGCCACCCCCACTCAGGGAGCACCAGCCAATGAGAGGACTCACCCCGCAGGGGAACGGCCCAATGACAGCACCGATTTAACTGACAAGTGTAATGTGAAAGCGGAGGGGGAGGGCAGCTCAGGTGAGACTGACACCCCAAATGCTGCTGCTGATGCCGCTGCCAACGACCTGGATTTTGACCTTTCGAGTGACAGCGAAAGCGAGGGTAAAACAGAATTATCTGACAGTGATGGTGAAGGACGGCTGGTGGATGCTGGGAAAGCCAAACAAAGCCAATCAAAAACCGAGGAGTGTAAAAGCAAAGAGGATGGTGAGGAAGGGGACAAACAGAGGACAGAGGGGGACGACGTTCCAGAAACAGATCCCGAGGGTCTCTGTGATTTGGGCAACGGCTGTTCTGACAAGAAAGAAGTGGAAACAGAGTCTCAAAACAGTGAGCAGTCAGGCGTCACAATGGGTGAGGAGTCTTTAGATCACAGTATGGACGATGAGGAAGAGGAAGACATGGACCAGGATGACCACCTCATTTACTTGGAGGAGGTTTTGGTTCGCATCCACAGTGAGTATTACTCACGCTACGAGGCCTTCCTAAGTAAAGAGAGTCCAGAGAGTCCGGACATACGGAAGATCATTCCCGAACTGAAGGGCCGTGCGCTGGCGGGCACCACCATCATCTTCAGTGGCTTGTATCCCACCAACTACTCAATGGAGCGCACGAGGGAGTGGTACCACACCAAGGCGCTGGGTGCCAAGCTTGGCAAGACCCTGGTGCTCAATGCCAAAGACCCAAACCTCACCACCCACCTTATTGCTGCACGTGCAGGTGAGTCTCGCATGCTTCAAACACCAGTTACGAAGGGATGTTTTCAAAAGCGAGTAGTCGGTGTGTTGTTTGAACAACTAGTCGTTCTTAAAGTCCCCATGAAATCATAAAGTTTTTTGGGTGTTAGTATCAATATGTTAGTCTTAAGGTTATCTATAAGACATTGTGCCCCAAAACGGTGACAAAATTCGCATTTAGAAGATATAAGCATTCAATCAAAGCTTGCAGTTCGCCACTTCCACCAAAACGCTAAAGCGATTTATTTTGACGTCACATCGTACTTCAGCTTCTCATCAAACTTTCTGTCCAATCAAATGCTCTCTAGAACCCGAAGCGCCCGCCCCCTGCACTATAAAATAGATGCTGAAGCCGCGGCTGAAATCGGTCACTTGTCCACAGAATTAGTATGTTCTGTACAGTGAATGGCACGTAGTGCACTATATAGGGGACAGGGAACGATTCAAACAGTGTAAATATGCTTTCCATTGAGGAAAAAAAGAAATCTGGTTTGGCGCTGTGTCACGCTAACCACCGCACCGCACACACACTGTGCTCCGGTCCAGAGACACGATAACACAGAGCGGATCACATGCGCGAGTCGGCGCAGACCACAAAATGTATCGAAGCTATTTGAATTCTGCACAGAATGCTATATTTTATAGCAATGTGGATGAGATTGTGGCTGGCATACCCTGTCAAATGCGGCTTTACGGAGCTCAACGGCTCTAGC